GGGGATGAGTGCTAGGGGATAAGCACACATGTACACACACATAAATTTAAAGTATTCCTACTGAAATAATACTCTGTGATGATGCTTTTAATCATATAAAGTTAAAATTTGTGTCAAGGATTATAAAAAAAACAAAATTGAAGAAACTGGCTTAATTTTTCTAACCAAAGATCCAGTGTCTTTTGAGAGGAATGAGATGGGTCAGGAAAATAAACACTGTCAGGGTCTGATGCTGTGGTATGGTGAGTTAACCCGCTGTTTGGGTCTCATGTGAGTGCCGTGAAGTTCTCTGGGCTCCTGGTTTTGATCTGGTCCAGGCCTGACTGTTGTAGCCATTTATGGAGTGAACCAGTGCAGGGAACTCTCTTTCTGTCTCTCCCTTTCTCTTTTTAACTCTGCCTCTCAATAAATAAACAAAAAAAGTTTAAAAACTAAAAGCATTTCCTTTTTCTCAAGACTGAAAGAAAAACCAACAAGCTTTTTACCATTTTCAAAATAAGACTGAAGCAGCCAACCACAAGGGCAGGGGGCCAACATCAAATGCACCATTTCTAGGATAAACCTCAGCCCAAGCCCTGGCAGACAACACTGCTGGGATCCGATTTACCACCACGTCAAACCTGTCCAGTTACCTTCTCGGTCAAAAAAACCTTGGAGAGCCTTTTTCGGGTCCTTGATGTAGAAGGCCTCTCTCTCCTGCTGGAACTCTAATACAATGGGGTTCTCTTCAGCCTCATCCTCTACAGCATCTTCACCTGTAAAATATTGGAAAGAAAAACCAAGATGCTCAGAAGACAGAACAGACGATCTGCATGGCTTTCACGGGAGGTGAGAGCTGAAACAAAGTCCCCACTATGACTATCTTCAAGATTTTTAAATTGCAAGACAAGGCAAAACTTGCTTTTTTACCTTAATTTTCCCTATACACACAGTATATCACTATTTATATAAGATATATATATATAAAAGATTTAGTTATTTTTATAGGAAAGGGAGCTTTACAGAGAGGAGGAGGAGAGAGGAAGATCTTCCATCTGCTGATTCACTCTCCAAGTGGCTCCAATAGTCAGAGCTGAGCCAATTTGAAGCCAGGAGCCAGGAGCTTCTTCTGCGTCTCCTGTATGGATGCAGGGTTCCAATGCTATGGGCTATCCTCGACTGCTTTCCCAGGCCACAAGCAGGGAGCTGGATGGAAAGTTAAGCAGCCAGAATACAAACTGGTACCCACATGGGATACTGGTGTACTCAAGGTAAAAATTTAGCCACTGAGCCAGGCCCTAAAAATAAGCAAATCTTTAAAAATAAATAAACGAAAGCAAGATCACCTATCACAGTGTGAAAAAAAAAATACAAGCTCCTTATCTGGCATTTTCATTTTCCCAAATTAAGGTTTAATACTTTATCTCCAATATAATTTCCTAGTACTTCTCAAACTATTGTAGAAATTTTGAGTTGATTCTTTTTTTTTTAAAGATTTATTTTTATTATTATTATTTTTTTTATTGGAAAGGCGGATATACAGAGAGGAGAGACAGAGAGGAAGAACTTCCGTCCGATGATTCACTCCCCAAGTGAGCACAACGGGCTGATACTATGCCGATCCGAAGCCAGGAGCCTCTTCCAGGTCTCCCACGCGGGTGCAGGTTCCCAAAGCTTTGGGCCGTCCTCGACTGCTTTCCCAGGCCACAGGCAGGGAGCTGGAAGGGAAGCGGGGCTGCTGGAATAGAACCGGTGCCCATATGGGATCCCAGGCGTGCAAGGCAAGGACCTTAACCACTTGCGCCACCGCGCCGGGCCCTTGAGTTGATTCTTACTTCAAGTTGTGTAAGAATGATGGTGTGCACAATGAGAGTGGTGAGAAAATGTGAAATTTGATTTTATTGAGAATGGAGACTATCGCTAACCAAGAGGGAACCCAAGGGAAGATTCTGGTAAGATCTGGGTATGGGAGCTTAAACAGGGAATGCCTTTCAATTGATAAGCCTCCACCCAGTTTCTACATTTCAGGTATTCCACAGTCGAGTTCCTAGCTGTTCTTTTTCTAATCCAGCTTCCTGCTAATGTGCCTGGGAAGGAAAGGCAAGATGGCCCCAGTTCATGGGTCCCTGCCACCCAAGTGGGAGATCAGGATAGAAATCCTGGCTCCTGGCTCCTGATTTGGTCTGGTCCAGAGTCCTTGTTGCTGCAGTTATTTAGAGAGTGAACCAACAGAAAAAAATATTCTGTCTCTCTGCTTTTCAAGCAAACAAAATTTGTGTTTTTTTAAAGCAAAATGAAAACGGATAAAATTGTTATTTCAGCATGTAATCAAAATATCATGACTATCTTATACTCCTTTTGTGCACTCAAAGTAAATATCAGCTTGGACTAGCCACACTACAAGTGCTCCAGGATGACTGTAGCTGGCGGCCACCTGTATTGGTCGGCGCAGATTAAGTGCTCAGTGACTGCTCCCTTCTGGAACCACGGCCCTAGAAAACTACAGTTCCTAGTTTTTGACACGTCAGCAATTTCACACTATTGATCTTGTCCTGCCAACTACATATGAAGGCTATCTACCCTTTCAAGTTCTAACATCCCCGACCACCTACTCTTCAAATTGTCTGATTGTATAGAAAATACAATTTATTCCTTTGGCTTGGAGACAAGTTTTCTCATTAGATAGTCCACATTTAAGGATAGTTGCAAAAAAGTCAAGAGGATATCTTTTATTGAATATCTTGTTTTATTTGAACATAGTTTTATAACTCCAGTGATACTCCTAGACCTCAGCAATAAATAAAACTACCTCTTGCAGCACTGACATCTCATGCTGGCATCCTTGTTAGGAGTCCTAGCTGCCTGTTTCTGACTCAGCTCATCACTACAATGTCTGGGAAGGCAGCAGGAGATGCCTAAACACCTGGGCCCTTGCCATCCCTGTGGAAGACTCGGATGGAGTTCCTGGCTTTTGACCCATTTGGGGAGTGAACCAACCGATGCAACATCTCTCTTTTTCTGTTTCTCCCTTTTTATGTTACTCTACTTTTCAAGTGAAATAAATCCTTAAGAAATACATACACAAACATTCAAAGAAATCCATAGTGCCCATAATTCTTTTTTTTTTTTTTTTCTTTGTAGCATCAGTGAAGTCGAGAACTCTCTGGGTTTTGATTAATGACAAAATGTATCAGTTCTATTAAAAGAGTCACCGAAAACTCTATCACTGAAAAATCACTTTTGGGGCCCAGCGCAGTAGTCAAGTGGCTGAAGTCCTTGCCTTGCATGTGCAAGGATCCCAGGTGGACGCTGGTTAGTATCCAGGCTACTCCACTTTCCATCCAGCTCCCTGCTTGTGAGAGTAGAAGATGGCCCAAAGCCTTGGGCCCCTGCACCCACATGGGAGACCCAGAAGCAGCTCCTGGCTCCTGGCTTTGGATTGGCTCAGTTCTGGCCATTGCAGCCATTTGGGGAGTGATCCAGCAGATGAAAGATCTTTCTCTGTCTCTTTCTCTCCCCTTGTCTCCATAAATCTGCCTTTCCAATAAAAATAAATAAATCCTTTAAAAAAATCACTTATCACTAGCTGTGATCTCAAATATTAACCCCTGGCAGTGACTGATTTCTTACCCATTCCCCACGTGCAGCCCACGTCATCATCCTGGATGTTTGAGCTTCCTTTCTTTTCCGCAGCATCTGCTTCCTCGTCTCCATCCGAATCTTCCCCTAGCATCTTCTTCTCTAACAGCCTTTGTTGCTGCTTGCGCAGTTCTTTCAACTGCGTGACAGTTAATTCAGATTCTGCCTCTCTGTCTTCCTCTGGTCCCTGATGAACCAAGGGGGGGGGGGGGCGGAGAAGGAGAAAATTTACTTCCCGAAATACAACCACAGGAACAGAGAGGTCCAGAGATGTGGCCAGATTTGTTCATGCACTTTCATCATTGCTGATGGGTAAAACCCCCTTCCTCCAGGAAAGCTTCCAAAAAGCCCAGGTTCCAACCCACTAGGCTCCTGAGATTTTCATCCACATTTCCCTCCCTTACTTACCTGCAGGATAAAGAGCCGACTGCTGCCCCCGAAGCGAAGCACATGCCCGACGCGCACCCGACAGTAGGTGCGTGGGGGGACGCGAGTCTTGTTCAGAAAAGTGCCGTGGGTACTGCCCAGATCGTAGAGGTAGAAGCCCGGCACGGTGCCCTCGCTCTCTCCGTCGGGCGCCCCGTGCTGCAGCACGGCGTGGTACCGGGACACCGAGGGATGCTCCAGGCACACGTCGCAGCTGGCCAGCCTCCCGAAGAGGCAGCGGCTCATCCCCTGCAAAGAACGAGAGCCGAGGATGGTGCCGCCCTTCAGGGTCTCCAGGCTGTAGGGGGCCGTGGCCCGGCCGCCCCACGGCGGCTCTCGGTATGGAGCAGCGCGGGCCGGGCCGCCGGCCGAGGAAGCGGACACAGGGGGTCGCGGCGGAGGCGGCTCCTCCCTGGGACCCCCGGCTTCCCCGCGGTCCAGCACAGGCGGCGGGACGCCGGGCCCTGCACAGGCGGAGTCCAGCAGCGCCGTGGGCCTCTCCTTCTTCCCCTCCTCGGGGTCTGAGGCACTGGCAACAGAGTCCTTCTCTGGTGGGCACCCCGGAACGACTGGCTTCTTAAAGTCCTCATTGAATTCAGGTGATGCCAGCGGCTCGGACTGCGTTGACAGATTTTCAGCCATTCTCGACCGGGTAACCTCGAAATCTGCCCCCTGGAAACTTGCCCCCACATGGTTGCAGCGTTCCTACCCGTGTTTCCTTTCCCCTCTGCTCCCAGCAGCTTCTCTGGAGGACCGTGAAGGAACAGTGGTACCTGGACGATCCCCTCAGAGCTTGGTGACACTGGTTGTTGGGTCAGAGTAATAGGAAAGCAGAAACAGGCTTCAGGGAATAAGCAGAAACAGAACGGGGACATATTTAGAAGTTGCGACAGAATTGCGATGACTTCCTGTGGTGGAGGGTGGTTAAGAAGCACTTCCGGTTTGGGGGACCACTGTCTCACAAACGACCCTTACGGGGCTGTTGGCCGTGAGTTCGGGCCTCAAGGGGTGCGGCTGTCTGGGCGAGGACTAGCGGCTTCCGTGGGTTTCCACGCCGTCCCGTCTCCCGGCCGTGCCGGGCACCAGGCGACACGGGGGTTGGCGTCTGTGGGCCGGCAGCCAGGAGCGACCTGGCGTTCCCTGGGCTCGGCACCTGCCTTGGTTGTTCCTTTCGGTGAAGCGAGGGGCAGGAGGGCGACTTTGTTGTTGCTGTTGTCACAGCGTTCCTGTATCCTTCGGGAACAAGGAAAGCTGTGTAGGTTAGTACCATCGGGCGGGACCTAGAGCCTCAGCTTGCACATCTGAAAACTGGGAATAATAGTATCGATTCCGTTGGGTCGTTGGGAAAACGGAATGGAGCCGTAATGATGAGACCTGGCATAAGACTAGAGTAAGCCTAAATGAGACAAAGAGGAAATGACGATAAGAGGTAGATGGGTGGATAAAGTTGACTAAGTATAGGGATAAATGATGTGACATGCGTGTGATGTGAGATATAAGGGGGGGATGGTGCACTAGGGAAGTGGTGGTGGGTGGGTGGGGTGGGGCTGACTTCAGTTATGCTTAAGAATGGGTCCAAGTCGGGCCCGGCGCGGTGGCGCAGTGGTTAAGGTCCTCACCTTGCACGCTTGGGATCCCATATGGGCGCCTGTTCTATCCCGGCAGCCCCGCTTCCCTTCCAGCTCCCTGCCTGTGGCCCGGGAGAGCAGTCGAGGACGGCCCAAAGCTTTGGGACCCTGAACCCGCGTGGGAGACCCGGAAGAGGATCTCTTCGGATCGGCATAGCATCGCCGTCGTGCTCACTTGGGGAGTGAATCATCGAAGGGAAGATCTTCCTCTCTGTCTCTCCTCTCTGTATATCCACCTTTCCAAAAATAATAATAATAATAATAAATCTTTAAAAAAAAAAAACAATGGGTCCAAGTCAGCGAGGGATGTGGGAGGGGGATGGGAAAAGATGTTTCAGGTATCAGTCACAGCTTTTACAGGGTCAACTGTAGAAACATGGCTTTTTTTTTTTTTTTCTAATGGCTGCAGCTACTGGAACTGTACCCATTGGAAGCTAGGATCTCCTCCGTGTCTCCCACATGGGGGCAGGGTGCCAAGGCATTGGCCCAGCTTCTAGCTTGTGGTTGCGTCCAGTAGGAATGGTCATCATGTGTTAATGGCCAGCATATAACGATTACATTTCTCTTAATTTTTTTTTTTTTTTATTGCAGGGAGAATACTTTTGGTCTTGCATTTCTATGACACTGACATTTTCCTAAGTGGTCTTGAACAGCCTGCCTTTTATGTAAATAACTGGCTGGACTTTATTTATTTCTGTATATAGAATATAGAAGCCTATATTCTACAGTTGGCAGAGATTGAAACCCATTACTATCAGGATACCATCTACCTTAAACTTGAGAACTCTGGCAACTTCTTCCACAATGTTGAGATACTGGGGTGAGATACCGATGTCATCCAGCCAGACCAACAGAAGTTCCTTCGATTTGCTCCCTCGGGAATTCCGCCTGGTGGAAGTCCATGACCCCCCAATGCACCAGCCCTCAGCCAACAAGCCCAAGCCCCCCACCATGCTCCCTGTCCCCTCAGAACCGTGCAGCCTCACCATCCACACCATTCAGTTGATCCAGCATAACCGCCGTCTCCGGAACCTTATCGCCACGGCCCAGGCCCAGAGTCAGCAGCAGACGGAGGGTGTCAAGACAGAAGAGAGTGAACCGCTTCCCCCCTGCCCGGGGTCCCCCCCGCTGCCTGATGACCTCCTGCCCTTAGACTGTAAGAACGCCAACACACCATTCCAGATCCGGCACAGTGACCCAGAGAGTGACTTTTATCGGTAAGATAAGGTTTTCCCTGTGTCTTTCCTTTCTCAACTTATTTTCCCCAGTAACCCTGGTAACCATCAAGAGGAAACTAAGGATAAAGGAATTGACTTGGGCAATGTTGCTTGGGAAATCTTAAGCTGTAAACTTTGGTCTTCTGAACCAAGAAAATGTTACTTTTCTGTGTGTTTTCTGATGCCTCAAATATATATTTTTTAAGATTTATTTATTTTTATTGCAAAGTCAGATATACAGAGAGGAGAGACAGAGAGGAAGATCTTCTATCCGATGATTCACTCCCCAAGTGACTGCAACAGCTGGCACTGGGCCGATCCAAAGCCGGGAGCCCAGAGCTCTTCCAGGTCTCCCACGCTGGTTCAGGGTCCCAAGGCTTTGAGCTATTCTCAGCTGCTTTCCCAGGCCACAGCAGGGAGCTGGAAGGGAAGTGGGGTCACCAGGACCAGAAATGGCGCCCATATGGGATCCCAGCGCATTCAAGGCAAGGACCCCAGGCACCAGGCCCCTCAAATATTATTAAATGCCTGTTTCAAGCCACGTAGTTCGCTAGGAGCACTGTTGTGGCTTCTTGATCCTTGGAGTGTAGTCTTTGCATTTAATATGAAATGCATACTATGGGCATTCTAATTGTGATTCATGATATTTATTTATTCTGGTGTTAATCCACAAGGCTAAGCAAGAATTTTTTTTAAAAAATGTATTTTCAGTTTGAAAAGTAGTAATATAAAACATGTTCCTGGACCTGGCTACCCAGGAACTGACCCAAGACAGACAGCAGGTCATTACCTCGCACCAGCACTAACAACACTGCAATGCCTCTGCTTTCAGAGGGAAGGGGGAGCCTGTGACCGAACTCAGCTGGCAGTCCTGTCGGCAGCTCCTGTACCAGGCAGTGGCCACAATCCTGGCCCATGCAGGCTTCGACTGTGCTAATGAGAGTGTCCTGGAGACCCTCACCGATGTGGCCCATGAGTATTGCCTGAAGTTCACCAAGTTGCTGCGCTTTGCTGTGGACCGGGAGGCCTTGCTGGGACAGTCCCCTTTCCCTGATGTTATGGAGCAAGTGTTCCATGAAGTGGGCATTGGCAGTGTGCTGTCTCTCCAGAAGTTCTGGCAGCATCGCATCAAGGACTATCACACATACATGTTACAGGTGAGATGAATGCATGGTGCTTGGACCAGGGCGCTCAGCCTAGGACTGCTAGGATCTGCTGTAGAGTACAAAGTGAACTTGGCATATTCTCAGGGCCCTTGCTGTGTTCATTCAACCTCTTCACTTTGCTGGCCTGACATCAGGGGCTCGTTTACATCAGCGGGCAGCCCTGCTCCTTCATACTTCCTCTGAAACTATACACAGTAGGTGGAGTCTGAGAGAATGTGGCCAGCATGCTTTCCTTCAACTAATGGTTTTTGAGTGGCTATTACCAACCAGACATTGTGGGGTACAGCAATTAACAAATTCCTTGAGCTTGCATTCTTAAAAACACAAATAAGTAAACAAATCATGTTCAGAACAATTCCAGATAGTGTTATGTGCTATGAAAAACAATGTAGGTAATTTTGCCTGGTAGGTGGTAGGGAGGGGCACAAGTTTTGTTGAGAACCACAAGTTACAATTTCTTCAACCCTTGTGAACTCAAGTGAGCTATTTGTTCACTGTTTGGTTTCTCCAAATGTAGGCTATGAGTTGTAATGTTTTACACACAACAAAAAAGGCCTCTGCTGGGCCATTTAGCTTGCCCACAGTGCTTATGATCCACCTGGGCTATCCATGACAGCTGTTTTGTAGCCAAAAAATGTAATTTTTGTTACAGTTCCATCTTGCCTGTTACCTATATGTAATTCTTTTAAAATATTTTATTTATTTAAAAAGGCAGAGTAGAGAAAAACAGAGATCTTCCATCCACTGATTCATTCCCCAAGTGGCCATAATGGATGGAGCTGGGCCAATCCAAAGCCAGGAACCAGGAGCTAGGAGCCAGGAGCTTCACCTGGGTCTCCCACATGGGTATAGGGCCGGCCATCCTCCGCCACTTTTTCAGACACATTAATAGGAAGCTGATTCAGAAGTGGAGCAGCCAGGACTTAAACCAGTGTCTGTATTGGATACTGGTGCCACAGGTGGTGGCTTTATTCAATGTCACAACACTAGTTCAAACCTTTAAATTTTTAATTAATGACAAACACATTTTCTGCAAAATACATTTGTTTGGCATGTCTCTGTCACTTATAAACAAATGCAAATTCAAGGGACCAACATTTTACCACAGTGGGTTAAGCTCCGCTTAATCCCTTTTGAGCACTAGTTTGAGTCCCAGCAGTTCTGCCTCTGATCCAGCTCCCTGCTGATGTGCCTGGGAAAGCAGGGAAAGCTGGCCTAAATCCCTGTGCACCTGCCACCCACGTTGGAGGCCCAGATGGAGTTTCATGCTTAAGCTTGGCAAGCCCCAGCTATTGTAGCCATTTGGGAATCTGATTAGCAGATAGAAGACATCTCTCTCTCTCTCTCTCTCAAACCTACTTTTCAAATAAAGAAGTAAATAAAATGGCTTTAAAAAATAAATGCAAAGTCAATACCTTAAACATATTCCTTCTATTGACAGTGGATGTTTTAAAACTTGTTAAATTTTGTTAGCTTTTCTATGGCACGCCACAGCTGACTACCCGACTTGCCTTTAACTTTTTTTTTTTTTTGAAAATTGACTTGTGCTTGCCAACAGATTAGTAAGCAGCTCTCTGAAGAGTATGAGAGGATCGTGAACCCCGAAAAAGCCACAGAGGACAGCAAGCCTGTGAAGATCAAGGAGGAGCCTGTGAGCGACATTGCCTTTCCGGTCAGCGAGGAGCTGGAGGCTGATCTTGCTCCTGGGGACCAGACTCTGCCCATGGGGGTCCTTGGGGCGCAGGGCGAGCGCTTCCCATCGAACCTGGAGGGTGAAGCATCCCCTCAGGCTCCAAGTAAGAGGGGGTATTCCTTGATTCTTGGATATATGCCCATCCCAGGACTCAGAGGTTTTTTTCTTTTTTCTTTTTTTTTTTAATACTTATTTTTATTGGAAAGGCAAATTTACAGAGAGGAGAGACAGAAAGATCTTCTGTCCACTGGTTCACTCCCCAAATGGCTACAGTGGCTGGGGCTGGGCCAGGCCAAAGCCAGGAGTTGGGAGTTTCATTTGGGCCCCCCACATGGGTACAGGGTTCCAAGTGCTTGGACCATTTTCCACCGATTCCCCATAGCCCTTCACAGACAGCTAGTTTGGAAATGAAGCAACCAGGACTCAAACCAGCACCCATGTTGGATATCAGCATTGGTCACAGGCAGCCACATTGCTTGCTGCATCACAATGTCAACACCCTAGAATTAGTAATTATTTGGTAATAACTTTTTGAAGCAAAGAATAACAACATTCTCAAGTACAGGGAACTGAGCTGAAATACCGCTGGTCAGGCCTGGGGACCCCTGCCTCCTGCTCTGTTCTGTTCTTGGCTCATGGATGCTCTTGACTTTTGCAGGTGCAGAGGTAAATGCATCTCCCCTTTGGAATCTGGCCCATGTGAAAATGGAGCCTCAAGAGAGTGAAGAGGGTAATGTCTCCGGGCACGGTGTGCTGGGCAGCGATGTCTTTGAGGAGCCCATGTCGGGCATGAGTGAAGCTGGGATCCCTCAGAGCCCGGATGACTCAGACAGCAGCTACGGCTCCCACTCCACTGACAGCCTCATGGGCTCCTCCCCTGTTTTCAACCAGCGTTGCAAGAAGAAGATGAGGAAAATATAAGAGGAAAATGGATGTTTTCTGTCCTGAGCTACAGCCCCCAACAGAATACCTTGCTGTTTGTTTGGTTCCATGAACAGTTTCATATATATATAAAGATTTTATTTTTATTGGAAAGGCCAAGTTACACAGGACAGATCTTTTACCTGTTGGTTCACTCCTAAAATGGCCACAATGGCCAGAGCTGAGCCGATCTGAAACCAGGAGCTTCTTCTGGGTTTCCTATTCAGGTACAGGGTTGCCCCAGGAGTTTGGGCCAGAAGCAGGAAACTGGATTGACAATGGAGCCGTTAGGATACAAAACTGTGCCCACATGGAGTGTTGGCACTTGCAAAAGGAGGAGGACGAGCCAGCTGAGCCATCATGCTAGCCGCTTCACTCATATTCTTAAACAGTGGCCTTAATTTCAGGGGAAATTAGTGAAACAAGATTGCATTTAACTTTGGGTTCGGTTAGTTTTCAACACTTAATCCCAGATGGATGATACTGGCAGTGTTTAAGAGACCAAAAGCCTGTCTCTACCTTGCAGATATTTGAGTTGTTTGCTATCTTCAAAGCTGTGATTGCATACTCACAATAAAAAATACGCTGGTATCAGCAGTCCATTTGTCTTTGACTTGATTTCCTTTTGGTTCATGTCATTGGAAATTTACTACTATCCTAATAGGAAATAGCTAAACACAACAAAGTTTTATCCATGTCATCACTCTTTGCTCCCAGTGAATTCTCATAAAATCAGAGGTTAGACTCTTATGTATGTTTTCTTCTTCCTTTTCTAGAATTACACCACCATCTGTCCTTTTTGTTGTTGTTTTGTCTTCTGCTTACTCAGACTTTTTTTTTTTTTAAGATTTGTTTTTATTTGAAAGGCAGAAATATCAGAACTATCGAAGCCACCTGGGCAGAATCCTCGGTGTGGGCCAGTATTGGGTGGCTGTTCTCATCCCAGCACTGGGGCAGTTGGGAGGCTGGGTGTGGCTTCTCTCCTTATCTCCCTCCTGCCACCAGATACAGGAAAAAGAAATGGAAAACTTGGAAACAATGATCACACCCACTTTTCCCTGACCCTCAGTCTTTTCCACCCTGATAAACTAGGTAAGCATCATCTAAAATATTTTTTTAAAAAAAGCAGATTTACAAAGAGAGAGAAAGCTCTTCCATGTGCTGGTTCACTCTCCAGATGGTGACAATGGCTGCAGCTGAGCCAATCTGAAGCAGGATATTCTTCCGGGTCTCCCACATGGGTACAGGGGCTTAAGGCCTTAAGCCATCCTGTACTGCTTTCCCAGGCCAGAACCAGAAAGCTGGATGGGAAGTGGAACAGTCGGGACATGAACTGTGCCCACATGGGATGCTGGCACTAGCAGGTGGATTACTCTGTTGAGCCACAGCATCAATCCCCAGACTTTTAAATATTTTTTTTACCATGTTCTCTTTTGTTTCTTTTTTCCCTTTTGTGAGGGAAGCAAGCAGTTGCTGTCTACGGCTAGGTTTTCAGAGAGCAGTCCCTTCCTATCAGAATGCCTACACCTGGACATTGTGCCTCTCCCAGATGGGTAGCCTTTAGGTCACCAATAGCACACCTTGCAGCTTTCCACCAGGTCAGCAACAGCTCTGCTGTGGTTACTCGTCCAGTACAGAATCTACAGTGCTTGGCATCTGAGTCAGTATGTATTAAATGATATAAAGCTATAGAGTAGGATCAATTAGCAAAAGAGGCTTTATACCTCAGTAGTGGATGTTAGCATGTTAAATTCATGGCTCGAATTTGGTGTTCTCTTATAGAATGTAAGACTTGCAAAATTTAAATCACTCTTTTACTAGAGACCAAAAACAAGAATTTAATTAGCACATTACTGAGTACCTGAAGTGTCCCAAACATTGGGAATAATGATGAATATGATAGCAACAAAATAAAGTCATACTTTAGCTGTTAACAGGTAACTTTTACCCAAGTCTTTTCCATCCAAGTCTTCACTTCATTTTCCCTTATTAATGTAATGGCCATAAGATAGTTTGCATAAACATTCAGCTGGCAGATATTTACTGAGTAAATACTATGTGCTGATCCTATTCAAGGAACACAAAGATGAAGACTTAGTCCTTGCCTGTAGGGAGTGTACAGCATGTGGGACACAAAGGCACAAAAGGGACAAGAAGTCTGCTCAGAGTTTCACCTCCTAACACATTCACATTTTAGGCCAACGGTTCTCATTAGTTATAGAATGTTGAAATCAGTACTTCATAGCAAGGCAAAAATACTGTTACTGCTTTAGAAGTCACCAGATGGGCAAGATCAGAGTAGTTTAATAAGGCAAATCCTGTGAGTAGTGATGCCTAGACTCATCTGGCCTGGTAGCATGGAACAGGCTGTTTGAGTTGAAGCAGTGGTTCTTAAGACTTGTGACTTTTTAAACATTGCTGTGCTGCCCTTCTCAGAGTCGGCGATTCAGGTTTCAAGGGGGAGTTTAACAGTTTCCCAGGTGACACTAAGAACCACAAAACTGGAGTGCAGCCCGGGCAGGAAGAAAATTCCTTGACAGACTGTGCTGTTTTAAGACCCTGTCAGATTGTTGAGGCAGCACAAATCTTTGTAATGAGTGTTGCACAGGAAATAGCACCTTATCCAGCCTTCAAATCAACACTAAGGATTCTCTGTATGAAGTTCAACACAAACAGGACTCTGTACCTGGCTACCAGGTTATGTGTATATGGGAAACTGTTGTAGTAAAATCACACCTCTATACTGAGACAGATTTGGACATGTGGCTTTAATAATAAGCCTCATATTGAGCAGGAGAATTGAATCTGATTAAATTACTTTCTGATATGAAATTGTTACAGGAAGCTTACAATAAAGTTAAAACATCTTTATGCAAGTCACCACTGCAATGGAATTCTTACTCATTAAACATGTTTTCCCCACTTTAACAAACCTGTGCTAGGATCTACATGACTGGTTGCCTAGGGGACTGCACTGCCACTGTGACCCCGCTCAGGCTTCCCCTCTGCATGTCTGCCAACAGGCAGCTCCCCTCACACAGGGCCAAGGGCAAGATGTCGGGAAGCAGCAACCAGAGCTCCAGTTCAGAAAGAGAGCTTAAAGTAATCACGAGGAAACCCAAGTTATTTCCATACATCAGCAGCAAAAGTACTTGAGTTCAAATGATAAAACTTGAACTTAAGTTAGGTTTGAAGAGAATCGACTTCCAAGAACAGTCAGTTCAGTCCTTTCCTGCATAACACCAGGAAGAGGCCAGGGGAGAACCAGCATCTGCCTGAGGACCCAGGGAGCTTTTATCACTGACTACATTGGAGCCACGAGATTTCCTTACGAGAAACCACTACTCTGAACAAAACTCCTTTACAGTCATCTCCAGCTGGAGTCCCCAAATTACGGACTGCTAGAAACAGAGTTGCCTGAAGTCTTCTATTTGTCATTTCTCTTCCAGTACTGTGACATTGACTCTTGCATGAAATTCTGGAATGCTGGCTCTTCATGACTTTCTTCTGTAACTGTAAGTAAAAAAGAAGGGTGATTCTTTTTAAATTCTTTTACTACTGTATTAGAGTTCCTGTCACCTAACCATGACATGTTATTTTTACAAAACTAGGTTTCACCTCTCTCAGTAAGGCAATGTCTCCTAGAAGCATGCTATTAATTATCATGTTGCCCAAAATGTAGTTTCTTTAGAAGTAGTTCAGAGTACCTTCAAAAATTAGTAATTAAAAAGTCTCATTGGTAATATTTTTAACAAGAAATGAAAACATGAAAAATGTACATTTGTAAATGTTTATAGCAGTTTTGTTCACCTTTTAATTTTCAATTTATTCAAGAGACAGAAATCTATCTTCCATGTGCTGGTTCACTTCCCAAATGTCTGTAATAGCCAGGACTGACTTGGAGTCATGTCAAACCTGGGAGCTAGAAACTTGCTCTAGGTCACCCATGAGAGTGGCAGGGACCCAAAGACTTGGTCCATTTCTGCTAACTCTCAGGGTGCAAAGTCACTGGAATCTGGAATCAGAAATGGAGCCAGGAATCAAATTGGCACTCTGAAATGGGATGTGAGCATCTCAAGCAGGGTCTTAAACACTGCACCAAATGCCTACCCAGCAGTTTTATTTGTAACAGATCAAATGAACCCAAATGTTAACCAGCTAGGGACATACAAACTTTGGTACATATACATAACAAAATATTAACCTCCCCCAAAATAAAACACTGATTCATGCAAAAATTATGCCAACTGAAAGAAAAGTAGTGCAAGAGGCTGAATACCATGAGTCCATGTATGTGGCCTTCTGGAAAAGGCACAGTTATAGGAATGGATATGTCAGTGGTTGCAAAAGACTATATTTAGGAAGGCAACTGAATAAAAGGGGGACAGGTGGGATATTTAGGGTAACCAGTATTGTATATTTTGATTGTGATGATAGTTATAAGACTAGATATATTTGTTAAAACATTAAAACCAAAGAGAGCACTTTTGAAGTTTATAGAATAAAAAGTAAGTTTCTTTTGATGCAAAAATATTAAAATCCATGGATAGTTTTTCATAATTCATGTTTCTCATGGCTTTTTGATGATCCTTCATATGCATGGATTTTTATAATTTGCATGAAAATAAATTTATCTCTTATTTCATTTTCCAGAAAGTTTCTGAAGTACTCTCTTATATTTAAAAGGGAGGAATTTTGCCATTTAGAAATCAAATCTCAGCAAACTGATTGAATGAGATACTTTACAAATTAGCATCCAGCTGGACAGTAAAGTGGGATTTGCTCTTGTTCACAGCTAAGGCCTAAATTCTCGCACAGTTCATAATACTGTCTCATTTGGAACAAGATTTCCAGAGTAATTCCATCTGCACTCTTAAGTCCTTTCTGATTGGTTTTGGTCTCAGCTAAAACTCCTTGTGTAGAGTTTAAAAACTGATAACAACAAAAATCCTAGATTCCTTATACTAACAAAATTAGACCCAAGAATGAGAAGACACAAGACAAGAGAGCAGCCAGCATTACCTGTTACACAGGGACCAGGAACTCTCAATGTGGGCAGCTTGCTCAAAG